AGCGACTAGTTTCGAGAGGTAATTCTCGGAGTTCTAGTGAAAAACCGTGACCAGGTGTGTGAAGCAGTCACCCACCGAAAACAATGGGAGATGGTTACACAACATCGTGGATTGGTTGAAGTTAGAAATTAAAGAAGTTGGATCCTGGCTCAGCGGTCTAGAGGTTAGACGTTCTCATGTAAGACAATAGATCGTTGGCTTGAGTCACATGTGAGGGGTAGTGAATGCGCACTGCTGAGAATAAAACGATCGTTTAGTGTATCTAGGAATTGGATGATGGTCTAACACTGATAGGATCATGGTTACAGTGAATTACTGAGATAACCATACCTACTACTTTGACACAAAATTAGAATAGAAATATTTATTCATAGTATTTGGAATCTCGTGATTACTTTAAACTGATGTAGAAATATTGGGATATATTATGCAACAATTACAGTAATAATAACAGTAATAACAGTAGTACCAATAATAATATGGTGGATTTTCAGCTTGTTTAACAGACATTAGTTACAATGATGTTCGGTGACAGTAATAACAAGAATTGTCAGTACCTGAGATTAGGTTAGTTAAAAACCAAAGCATTTTGTTACGTAATTGAAAGTATATAACATATCGATGATAATATTATTACAAATCATGTTCATCACTAAACTAGAAGTTGTGTGTTTGAATCTATTTGATGAAATGGCTATGCAGTGTAGGATAGTTATATGTTAAGACGAAACTTTCGTTCAGCCCACTTTGGTTTCTGGTGTTTCCTAAAATATCGATTGTCATAATAATAGTTATGAAGACGAACTAAAGACTGAATCAACTCACTTAAAAAGTTTTTTTCAAGGAAATATTTGAATAAATCATTATTACATAGAAGAAAGGCATAGAAAACCAGAGAATATTAGATAAATATTTCAGTATTGTTCATTTTAGGATGGGACTACAGAACTCCGTAATTTATTAATATTTATTAGTGGAAGCAGCCTAATCTATTCATCTTGAAGAGAGCAAGAACGAAAATTGGTACAGAATAATATAAATTCAGAAGGGTGTTTTATGGAGATTTTATTGATTTAATAGTTGAATTCGGGAGTCACCACCATGGAACACCTGGGAGCACTGAACAGCCGTTTCGTCCTAGTATGGGACTCCTCAGCAGTGCGCATCCACGATCCCACCGCATGGAATTCGGACGAAGAACCTATCGGTCTCGCACGCGAACGTTTAATCTCGAGACCACTGAACTGACATCCAACGGTTTTAATGTCTAACTTCAACCAATCTACGAAATTTTATTTCGTTAGATTCTCATCAGCTGCTTACAACCTATTGTATTTAAAATTAACGTTATTACAGATATTGACATACTTATACATACGAGAGCGATTAAAGATATGTGTATCATGATGTAACGAAAATTCCAATCGAGTTAATAAAGTCATCATAAATTTTGTTCCGAATAAATATTTATGAGAGGGAAAGCTCCAAAACACTGAAATAGCGATTAGAACTCGCGGAATTTGCAAACATGAGACGATTGTGCAGTGAAATGACTGAAAACATTATTGGTAATAAAGAAGGATATGAATTGGAATCAGTCAGCTATGAATTGAAGGAAAAATGATAATGATGTAATTAAACTTTAGAAAGAGTTGAAATAATGAGCGATGTAATATATAAAAAGGGCATAATGTTACAAGGGTAAAGAAAGATTTATTACTCCCTCTTTTGGGATACATAGATCTGGTTTCAGACGTCTTGATAATAAAGACAATTATGTGTATGAAATAGTCTATTTATATTGCTAATTATATACATAGATTAAACCATTGATTGGTTAGTATGAAGTACTACCCGCTCCAACGAATTCAAATTCTACTATTGACTGATAAGTAAATCATACACAACTCTGTACTTTTCCATAGTTTTAAATCAGTGATTGATCCATTTTTGATGTATAACAAAATCTTCGTTTGTATTCCTGTCTTTTTGATTGTACCAAATCATATTATTCTTTGTTTGTGTCATGTCTGATCGAAGAATTCATGAATGATAATTGATAGGAATTATTGATGGACTATTATTACATATATTCTCATCGGGTAATTATTAAGTAACTAGATTATATATCAGAAGGGGTTTTGTGGATATCATGAATCAATTGAAACTAAACCACCATGGAAAACCTAAAAGCACTGGACGGCCGTTTCGTCCTAGATTATGCTTATTCATATTCTTGTTATCTCAAGGTTTCAGTTTGCATATTGGCCACTGTTATATGATTTACAATCCCAATTTATTGGTTAGTCTGCTGTACTCATAGCCACTTTGGGCTTGATCTTGTATAATTATTATTTTTCATTTCAGTGTGATGAGGTTTGGTCTACTTGTATATAAACCATGTATGTCTGAAATATACTTTTCATATAGTGGAGACTAATATTTGTGTTCTGGACTGAATAGACTGTTAGGCGAGAAGCTACTATACAGAAGATCAATAAGGACTCAGAGTTGACTCAAGGCCGCTAGTGTTGTTTTGACGCATCATTGGTTCAGCATAGGGACAAGGTCACAAAAATTGGCGATCTTGTAGCGTGATATTTGGCGGGCCATAGGACACAACAAATATCTGGAATAGCATTTAACCATGACCTTCATTCAATATTTAAGCTTATTTTTATGTTTTAAAGTAGCTAGGATGCGTTTAGGTGAAAATTACTTAGTTCCTTGACGAGATCAGTAATCGCTGCTTTGTTATCACACAATCTAACAGCTGATCAGTATATCTTAACTCAAAACGATTTTGACAAACGGAGAATACTTTTTTGATTTTAACCATCAAGTGCCCGAAATTCCACAAACTCTTACAAGAATGTTATAACTTACACAATGTCCACTGGTAATGAAATCAATAAACTAAGACTACGTGAATTGGTGATAATCTGACAAGTTTATTTTTTTTGACGGGCTCAATAGTCAAAAGAACTCCAAGTAAACTGATCAAAGGAAGAATTGAAAAGCACCATCAAGGACAACCGAGATCTAATAAACCTGTTCCTCAAGATTCTGAGACAGGCCAAAATTGCATAAACAAGAGACGTCTCTAAAATAGATTGTGTCACTAACAGGGACTCCAACCTGAAATTCATTTAAGGAACTCGACAGAATATTAAACCATTTGATACAATCATAGGATAATTACATTAGCACTTTATGATGATGTTTAAACAATATCAAAAAACCTACAATTGAATAATGGCACAGTCATGATCCATTTAAAAAAGTCACGAGCGAAATCAACTCAAAGACAATCAAGTGTTGATTATTAACATTATCGAAAACATCAAGTTTAACAGTAGAAGAATAACCAAACAAAATTCTGCTCCTGTAATAAATAAACTTTATAAATACAGGTACTTACGAAACAAAGCCAAGCAGACCAAATAATGGATTACATTAGTAACAACCCGACAGATCGCAAAAATAGTTTTGCATAGACACTTTTAGAACAGCTAAAACTAATTGCAGCGCTCTCACAACACAAAAAATTGAAGGAACCTATTTCTCGTCTACCCACAGACAAAATGGCTATCCTACTAACTTTGTCAAAAGTTGTCTAGCAAGTTGACGTATCATCTCAAAATCTTCATCAGAAGTCAAAACATGATATCATTTCAGAAAAAGAATTTCTGGAATCACAAGGATTCAGAATGTAAGCCTTTCAAAAGCCAATACAAGGCCGAAGGATACCAGGCGTAAGAGAAATGCAATACCAACTGCACTGGGCATTACAGTGGACAAAGTGGTAGCCTCTTTCATCTTCGAACTAGCAACAAAACATATGTTATTCAAATCAGTGTACGCAAGCAACTACGGACACGAACTAGGTTGCGAAAACGTCAAGATTGTGGACTGACAATTTCTCGAATCAATAGGGTTTATCAACATAGACATTAGTTGCCAATCTGTAGGATCAGCCAACCACATGGTCAGAGGTCAACCGAACACGAAAATAGACATGAGTACTGAGACAAATGAAGCCAACAAAACCTGTGAGGACCAGTTACAGACCAGATAATCAGAAAAAATTGATTTAGCCTTTGTGAAAGAACTAAGTAGGTCACTTGTATGTAAATTAAGCCTTAGCGGTGTTATTCGAAACAGGAATGAAAGCTTCGTAATTAAAGCACTCAACTCAGAGAACACTACGCATTTAGAAGACAGTCACTTCTAACTATAAATCACAAGTAATCATTTTCAAATTTTAGGTTTGTACTTTTTACATTAAGCAAAATTTATGGAGAAGCCAACTCCGCCTTGAGCCCCTCCGGGGGCTACTGCCGATCTCAAGCCCGGATAAAGGAGGAGGGTTGGGCAGGGGGTTAGCAACGCTATCCCGTAGAAAACCAACTCTCTAAAGAACGCTAACCATGGAGAAACTGGTATTCTGAATGCTTTTATAATTTTGTATCTATCTTCATAGTATGAAAGGTTAATGATCAATGGATATTTCAACTGTAGCAGTTCAATTCAAAACAAGTATTCAGTAAATTATGTAATGTAAACATTTATCCCCAAGGGTTAGTGCTATCGCGTTGTTGATATTATGGATTAAAATTTAACCAATCTCTGTCGAAATATGAGCATCTTGAGTGAATTTCACAATATTGTCATTTCAATACAGTTTATGTGTTAGATTCATGTTACTTATGTATGTATAGGTGAGCTATGTAATGTTATTACAAAATTCAATCCAAGATGTCTGTATTATTTTATTAAACATCAAACCTATATTGCGAAACTTCTATAAGGACTGAAGATATGACAGACCATTATTTCCACTTTCCTCAATATCATGTAGTTTTATTGTGAAGTAAGAAAAAGTTAAGTCATTTGATAAATATTATGTTGTATTTCACTAAAACAATAAACAAATAAATCGAAGCATAAAATGCCAACTAGTAAATTGTGATAATTGTGTTAGTTAAACTTTTACGAAATTACTTGTTTTCGGTTGAAATATTCCAATGTTGATCATGTAAACCATATTGTGAAGCCAAATGATCAACTAGATTTTGACTTGGTAAATTAACTAACCATAATAATAATTGTTTGCGTAGATTTAATTCCGAATCATCTGATTTACTGGATAAATAACTGATCTGGACATATAATTAATAATAACAAAGAAGGTAAAGGATACTTATTTTAAAAAAAGTATCATATGAAATGTTATAGATTAAATAAAAGACTGATTTCAGTTAAATAACCAACGAAAGTCAAGAAAAAATCTTCAACTGTCTTAACCTAGTATGGGTTTACTCAGTAGTGTGGGCCCACGACCCTACTGAGGGTTGAGATCAGGGACTTCGGGTTTCGTGGTGAGCATTTAACCTTTAGACCACCGAGCAAGAATCCAATAGTTTACATGTTTAACTTCAATTAATTTGCGATATTGTGCGACCAACTACTAATATCAGAGATAGTTAAGAGGCCTACACTTGATTAAACTCCACTGATTAAGGTTTCTCACTAAAACTCCGGGAATTACCCATAGAAACTAGTTACTAGTGACTATAGGGTTACTGTGATTATACGGGGTTTATGTATAAGATTTTTCAATTTGGTATCTGTATAATCCTCACAGATCGTTCTCTCTTCATATATATCAAAAACGTAATTCCGAAGGCCGAGCGGAAGGTTTACTTACCAAATTTATTTCACTGGATTATACTCTTTAAATAACATCTTCAAACCCTAATCTTTCCGATTACTGCTTATATTTTTACTACCTCTACCATTATGGGATTTGAATCGACAATTGTATCTCTGTGCTAGTGTGGTATGGCAACTTGAACTGATGTAAGTACGTACGAAGTTCTACGTCGTTACAGACTGACTGAATAATTACCTCGGTTCGTTTAGCAAACACTAAACAAAATGAAGTCATAATATCCCAATATCCCTAACCACGACATGTATTTGAGAGTGTTGAGACATAAAATATGCAAATTTGATTCTTAAAGTATCAGGCAGATATTTATCAATAACATAAGATTTTCAGTGGTTTATGGGTTGTATTGCTCAGGACTTATAGATGTTACTACATACTCAATACCCTGAGGCAAACAACGGAGGAACAACATAGGAATTAGTAAAAATGTACAACAGTTCGACTTGCCACACTTTATATTGATAAACTAAGGACATCGATGAAAAAAGTGATCCAATGGTTAGAAATCAAGTGTTCGAACCTCTAAAGCACTGTTCCATTTTCGCACACATCCGAACCTTTAACCAATCTTACAGGGGAACATGAAAATCTCCTAAGCCGATAGAAAAACGGAGATCTGACCTGTGTCACAGATCGACTAAGTGTTTAAACGCTAAACGAAACCATTGTGTTTGTGGCCACGTTACATCAACCACCAACTTATGAGGGTCGATAGGACCTGGAAGCGGGATGATGAATGTGTCCAGCTATTTTACTTTATAGTAAAACCAGCTACTGAATTCAACTAGTCCTGAAGCGAAATTTTGAATATAAGAATGAAAAAAAGATGTAGTAAGGATCCGAGAATTGTCACAAAATGTTAACAAAGCTCAAACAAAAATAAGTTCAGTGATGAACCTATTTTTTTAAGTGCATGCAATCCGTGTCGTGATGCATTCTGATATCTTATCCTTTTACCAAACAGTTTTTCCCATACTAGATCCGATTTATAGAATCAATGAGTGTTGGATTGATACTTACAAATTTTGGAACACTGAACATTTTTCTAGCTGTAGGTACTCCCAACAAATTAGTTATGAGCTGCAAAGAGAAAATACAAAGATAAATAACAGCCTACAAACAAAAGGACACTCAAAAGAAATGATCTCTTGGTGGTAGATTTCATAAACTGATATCATCTGAAGAATTATTGAGAAATCGGAAAGCACAATAGAACTAGTTCGTGTCGATTGCATAATTCCAAGTGGTGCACTTTAACTTCTCTTAAGATTGACCCCATAATCAAGACGAAAACCTGTAGAAACAAGCCATTTCTTCATGATCCCTATCAGTCAGTCAGTAACAAAGTAGAACTTCGTACATACGTAAATCAGTTCGAGTTGCCACACCACATTAGCGCAGAGATGCAGTTGTCGATCCAAACCCCGTAGTGGTAGAGGCGGTAAGAGTATAAGCAGTAATCGGAGAGATTAAGGTTTGAAGAGTACAATCCAGTGAAATAAATTTGGAAAGAGAAAAAAAGAGACAAGGAGGATTCAGGGGATTAGAATTTGGGGGAACACAAAAAGTGAATGCACCTGCGCCATTGCAAACGATTTTGAGCCGTGTCATTCAGGGTCCCTAACCATCGGTTGCTATCATCTCGCGGTCCCCAACCAGGTAGTCTACACCTACCAACATGACTCAGTCCACTTGTCAGTGACTTCATGGACTTGTGCCATGTTTTGGTCTGGCCGCCCCTAGCTTTTTTCCAACCTACTCCTATACCATTGAGCATCCATGGTCCCTATAATGTTATTTAGGAACATATGTAAAGGTTTGTTGGTGAAGAAGTAAATTACTTGATATTGATCCCATGTAAGTATCAACTAATTTTTAACTATTTAAATTTGTCCTGCCCTGTGCACAATAATATTGATAGTCCTGGAAGATTCACCTGAAGATCCAACTAAATTCCATTTCAAACATGTTAGATGATAAAATGAATATGTACTTTCTACACACACAATGTAACTCCGCCTGTATCTATTCTAGGGCTACTGCCGGTTCCAAGGCCAGGTAAAGGAGGAGGGTTGGATATGGGGTCGGCAAGCATATCCTGTAAAAAAACTTTGCTGAAAAAACGCTAACCAGAATAAACAATTTAAACGGATTTAAACTCTGTCCTGGAAGTTGAAGGAAGAATTATGACGCCTAAGGATGAAAGCCGGGACTCTTCTGAAGTTACGAAGACAGTGCTTCTCCTAACAACCAAAGCAACAATTTTTATGGATATATGGAACGTTTGGACAATGTGGGAGACCAGGATGACCAGTCAAATAGCAAATGGAATGAGATAAAAGTTGGCATTACTCGGAATCAGTGAAACTCATTGGCCCCACTCTGTACTCTGGCCACGAAGAAATAAATACTCCACACACTCAAGAAGTTATCCCAATGCTGTCCAAAGAAGCGAGAAATGCACTTATTGGGTGAGAATCTCATGGATCCAGGATAATCAAAGCATCCTTCAAAACAAAGGACGAAATCACAATGAATGTTATCAAATGTTATGCACCCATCAATCACAGAAACGACGACGATAAAGATCAATTTTACGAGAGGCTGCAATCAATCATAGCGAAGTGCTTGGGAAACGACCTGACAATCCTGATGGGAAACCTAAACGCCAAAGTCAGAATGGACAATACCGAGTATGAAGATATCACGGAACGACATGGACTGGGAGAAAGAAACGAGAATGGGAAAGGATTTTCAAATATATGTGCAATCAACAAATTGATTATAGGAGGAACAATATTTCCACACAAACGCATACACAAAGCTACATGGGTCTCATCGGACCACACTATGAAGAACCGGATAAATCATATTTGCATCAGTAAAAAATTCACAAGGTCAATGGAAGACGTGAGAATCAGGAAAGGAGCTGAAATAGCTTCAGATCACCACCAACTGGTGGTTGCCAAGATGAAACTGAAACTAAAAAGATACTGGACAAACAGCATTACAAAGGTTCAACACAGTCTTCCTTCGAGATACTGACAACTCAAGGTGACTCTCAACAACAGGTTCCAGGTCTTACAGGATCTACTGAAAGAAGAAATTACTATGGAGGACAACTGGAAACGGATCAGAGAAGCACTAGCTTTAACGTGTCACGAGGTTTGGGCTGCAACTAGCTTAATCGTCAAGAATGGATCTCTATCGAAACCCTCGACAAGATTTAAGAAAGGAGGAACAAGAAGACAGCAATTAAAAACAACAGAGAAAATCAAGGTACAAACTGAACACACTGAAGCAAACAAGTGAAGAGGAGCAATAGAGCTGACAAGCAGAAATACGTGGAAGACCTAGCAACAACAGTGGAAAAAGCTGTAAGAGAAGGAAACATGGCGCAACTGTATGATACGACGAAAATACTAACAGGGAAATATAGTAAACCAGCGAGACCGGTCAAGGACAAAGAGGGCAGAACAATCACTGAAATGCAACAGCAGAGAGAGATAGGTAGAATACTTCGAGGAACTCTTGAATAGGTCAGCCCCATTGAATCCACCGGATATCCAAGCAACACCTACAGACCTTCCTGTAGATGCCACTCCACTAACAATCGAAGAGATCACGATGGCCATCAAATAAACCAAGAGTGGGTAGGGAGCAGGACCAGACAACACACCAACCTGATGCAATGAAGTCAGTTATGTGAATAGCTTTAAAAATGATGCAAATTCTATTCTGGGAAGAGGGACAGGTGCTGACGGATTGGAAAGAAGGACATCTCATCAAGAAACCAAAGAAAGGAGATCTGAGCAAATACGAGAACTACAAAGGCATCACACTACTGTTAATACCAGGAAAAGTTTCCAGCAGAGTGTTGCTGAACCGGATGAGACTCAGTAGACAACGAACTTCAAGATCAATAGGCTGGATTTCGTAAAGATCGGTCGTGCACAGACCGAATTGCGACGCTACGGATCATCGTTGGACAGTCAGTTGAGTGGAACTCACCACTATACATCAACTTCATTGACTATGAGGCGTTTGATAGTGTAAATAGGAGAACATTATGGAAACTTCTTCGGCACTATGGAGTACCTAGGAAAATAGTCATCAAAGTGGTGCATAGAGGACGGCTGACAAACGCATTACAAGTAAGGACCAGAGTTAGACAAAGTTGCTCAATCTCTCTTTCCTTTTCTTCTGGTGGTCGATTGGATTATGAAGACCTCCAAATCTGACGGGAAGCATGGAATAAAATGGACAGGTTGGATGCAACTGGACGATTTGGACTTCGCAGATCACCTGGCTCTTTTATCACATACACACCAACAAATCCAGATGAAGACGACCACTGTAGCAGCAGCCTCTGTATCAGTAGGCCTCCACATATACAGAGGAAAAAATAAGCTCCTCAAATTTAACACAGAGAACACCAACCCGATCACACTTGATGGAGAAGCTCTGGCAGATGTGGAACCTTTCACGTATCTGGGTAGCAACATTGGTAAACAAGGAGGATTTGATGTAGATGTAAAGGCAAGGATTAGCAAAGTAAAAACAACATCCCTACAACTGAAGAACATATGCAACTCAAAACAAATCCCAGTCAACATCAAAGTCATAACATTCAATACGAACGTCAAGACAGTTAGTCCTATTGTGTGGAGCTGAAAATTGGAGAACTACTACAACCATCATCGAAGAGTACAGGTATTTCTAGACAATTGTTTACGCAACATACTGAATGTTCGTTGGCCGGATACCATCAGTAACAACCTACTATGGGAGAGAATAAACCAACTTTCAGTTGAAGAAGAAATTAGGAAAAGGTGTTGGAAGTGGATAGGATATACATTGAGGAAATCACCAGAATGCATCACGAAGCAAGCGCTAACTTGGAATCCTGATGTGGAATAGAAAAGAAGGAAGCCAAAGAACACACTGCGCCCAGAAGTGGAAGCAGACATAAAAATGATGAATAGCAACTGGAAAAGACTATCCAGGACAGAATTGGATGGAGAACGCAGGTGAGCGGCCTATGCTCCTCCATGAGGGGTAACAGGCGTAAGTAAGTAAATAAGAACACACACTGTTACACACACGTCTTTTACAATAAATAGTTGAAATAAAGTATACACACATCCAATATACCAAATCATTTTTCTGTAAAATGTACCTGAAGTATTAGATTACTAAATTTTTTCGACTTTTGTAGTTGTAGAAGGAGTTGCTGAGACGAGTCCGCATATTCAAGAATAGCAATCCTTCCCCTCAAAGATTCTGAAATTCTAAACGAAATTATAAAAGACTTGCAGGATAATTTTCTACCGTGTAAAATTTATAAGAAAGCAATTGAATAAAATTATGGATTGCATATAAACCTGTTGTGAAAATCATGATAAATGGCTTAGTTTATTTATATTATTTTCACAAACATAAATTGTACGACATTGAAATGGAAATTATATGATTTAATCAGGTTGCGAATGTATTGGTCACACTCTCACCCTTTAGTAAACATTAATTAAATATCCTATAAAAAGTAAGAATGGAGTTGTGTCTAGAAGAATATTTTCGAAAACAGTGTCTACATAAAACTAACTATTCATAATCAGTTGTTGGGTATTCAAACTTAGTAAAATTAGACGTTACGACGAGTCTTCCGAGTAATTTTAATATTAAAACACCTGTTGAAAGTAGCAAACAATACAGTCACAGTTCTGAATAACTCACTTTAAGTTACTTTTTAAACATTGATGTAACAACAACATTTACACCGACTGGATTTAAGTGAGGTTAAGTAGTCAGATAATACACCAGAGAACTTAACAATAGCTCTCGTATAAAAATCCCAGTGAGAAAGTCACTTTCGTTGAAAATAGGACTATAAGTCTTGTTGTTATCAAAATGAAGATTCGAAATATAATGAGACAGTTATTGAAATGTTCTGTTTAGTTATATGTATGTGATACTTGGACAAACAAATTCATGTTAACAAATTGTCGTTTTAATATTTTAAGATATACCTAATACCTTTCTCATACACCCATTTTTGATGAGGAAGGTAGTCTCAGAGGAGACGAAGTGAATTTGACAGCACCATTCTAAAAAAAAAACTAGTAAAATCAAGGAATATACAACACTAGTTTCCAGACAAAATTACTGGTACAAACAAAATAGCAAGTAAATATTTACAAAAATTACCTGATCAATAGATTTAAACAGTAAGGTTTCAAGACTTCTTCAGCTTTAAACAACAGATTGAGCGTAGCATCACAACCTTGCAACCTTAATATATTGCGCAATCCTTTCTCCTCCTGACTTGATAATTCAGAAGTTTAGTTTTAATAACACTAACGCTATCAATAGTAGTATTTTCAATGCTTCAAGTTTATATTCATGTGTGAGTGATAAAGTCAAACAAGTGATGATTTTTTCGATAATAACTAATGGATAAGTTTCATCGGATGCTTTCAGTAGATACAATAAATGAAATGCTTCCAAAAGCTTGATAGAATTGTTTTAAAGGGAAGCAAAGAGGTAGAAAAAATATGTAGATGTAATATCACTGACAGAATATACACAATAAGTCGAAAATAAAATAAACTAATGCTTACATTCTTACGCACGGGATATGTTGAGGACTTTTCGACGAGAAGCAAACCAAGTTCATCTAGAAAAAACAGAGAAGTATGATCGATCTCAATTTACGTATTGTCATTTTTCCATTAATTCCCCATGATTTTGCTATACTCGTAATTTTTTTAATATTTGTAGTTCTGTTTTTTTCAGTGAAGTTATTCTCGCTATCATCTATCGATACTGCCATCATTCTGAAGTGTTCAGAAGATAGATGAAAAGAAATTACAAATATACTAAGCTAGAAGACAAAAATATAGAAATGGCAAATTTACTCCTAATTGAACAAATGAGACAATTTTGTAGTGTAGTTTTAATGTAATAACATAACACTTTGTTGTGTCATTTTTTGTCATAAGGTGTATTTCGCAGTTAAGTTGTCGAAACAGTCCTCATTTATGAAGTTTACGCCAGAATTCCAAGGAATCATTTTGTTATATAACAGAAAAAACGATTAGGATTGAAAAGTTCTTTAATAATAAACTGAAGCAGTAAGCATCTTTACTAAAACCTTTTACCAAAAAATTATGAAAAGATATCAAGTAACTTGATGTGCATCTAAATGACACGAAAATAAATTGGCTGGAGAAAACCCTTTACTAGAACTTCGAAAACCCGAATTATATTCAAGACAGAATATTCCTTCATTTTGGATTTAAAATGAATTACTGGGAGATTCATGTTTTATAAGTGAATTTATTTATTAGGGTCATGGAAAACATCATCCAAGAGCTCTATGACTAACATGATAGAAGTGCCCGAAGCTTCAGGTAAGGAAATCAATACTGTGTTGACTGAACTCTAGTTTATCAATATTTCTGAACGCATACTCATTTTAAATAAATTTGGGACACCTAAATAGCAAGTTCGTTTGGGTGAATAGTATACTTCGCATGTTTTTTAAGGGGACCAGTACTAAGTGGGGTATTATAAGGCTCCATTCTGGGTCATTTACTTTCTATACTTAGTATGAACGAACTCCCCAATAATATTTTGAGGTCATGACGAAGCTGGGTGAGAAGTAAAAGGAGATCTCGATCCATGTGTACTCCAACTCAAACAAAACGTTCTGATCAACTTGTATAAATTGTGGTTAACACCTGTCAACGTGGTCAAGTAAGTCTAAGTGCATATTGGATACGCAAAGGTAAATAACTGCAGCATCAGGGAAGCATATGTGTTTGTAGTCCTGTCTCTCAATGACCGTGGGAGAATAGTAAGTCACAACCTTAAGATCGTAGCTCACTACCGCCTGGTTGTAGTTAGGAGAGTCAGGGTCGCATGAGGATCAAGATGAACAATTGTCAATTTGATAAATATTTTCTACGGCATATACAATCACCGTGGAATCCAAACTTGAAAGTGCGTCCAGACCGCAAACCCTTGCTTCAAAGATCACCCAGACATCTTGAAAAAGTACAAAAGCCAACTACTTGTGCGATTTCAGTGCTCCCCGTTCACAAAAGGGTTTGAGAAATTATACCATTTTGCGTTTTCCTACTGCAGATCAAGAATTGATTCAATTTTATTGCACATAATACTAAAAAGTGATTTGCAATTGGTATATCTTATTGTTTTTCACTAGATTAGGAAAACTCAAAGGACACTAAGAGTGAGTTCAAAACAATACACCCTTGACATACAGGTTTCCCCCCAAGTAGTCAACTCTAGGGACCTACTACTTCACGTAAGGGTGTTTACAGCTTCAATCTACTAGTTTAAGAGAAAACTAGATACTCAGAAGAGCTTGCTAGAAAAGGATTAACATAGGCCATCAGACATTTTTTTAGCAATATTCAAATCTAAGTCTGTGGTCAGAAATTCTCTGAGAGTTTAAAGGAATAAATATTTGAAGTGAATTAATATAAACAGATGAAAACACTTTGCCACTTAACACTGAGAAGCCAAAAAGGTCTGTACAATAATCTTACTTACATTTCCTAGGGGTGTAATGAAGCGTAAAGAAGATTTTCTTTACAATTCAGTCGACATGGATGTGGCTGAGATGCAGTCTGGGAATAGCCGCGTACAATATCCCAAATTTCGTGTTTTCGACAAAGTGATATCTCCAATCGCCAAGTACGTTTAATTACTATTTAGATATTCACTATTTAGTTCAACACAATTAGAGACATCACCATCCACATCGGAATGTAAGCATGTTGGTGGTGCTGTATTGGACCAGTAAGTAACCTGCATTATCTAGTGACCTTTTTCACCTGTGATAGGTTGTATACTGTGGTGTTGAAGATTTCGTCAGCTATGAATGACTTGACTAAAACGATTAACAACATATCGTCCGCCATTATAGACTTGAATGCTAATGTAAACCAATTGCTTTCAAAGTCTAATGAGCACGAAAGACCGCATCAACTCGATTACGGACTGTCAAGTCAGCAGTTCCCTTTGTCATCTGAAGAGGAACTACAGATGCTAGATACTGGTTTGTCGCAGAAAGAAACCAGGGACAGATTTGTAAGTCATTAACATGAATTTAATAATTTGTTACTATTACAGATGGCAATGGTCATTAGGTTATCAGGTGACGATCTAAAAACGTCCATGCATTTTATTCTGTCGCATCTGCTGACACCGGAGGTGGCCAGTAAATTCACGTTACTTGGCACCTCTTCTAAACGAGCACTACAGAAATGCACGTTTTACAGCTGCATACGAAGTAACCTATATCTATTACTTAAACTTCAGGTGCCTTAACTCATCGCTTTTTGTCATCCTCTGTCAACGAGAAAGACCTTGGTAAGCTCTACGACATCGCGACACAAGGTTACTTTCACGACATCCGAGACAAGATGATAAAACGAAATAGGAGAAAAGAAAATCAGGTATGTACTAATTTAAAGTGATAACCTCCCTACGGCTCTATAGTTACAGTCAACAATACTAACAAACATAACTGTAAGTTCAGCTTCAAGTATTTGGTTGTGGAAAAACATGTCATTGAGATATGGTTGTGACTATTTTTTTTTTTTTAAAAAAATTCAGAATTCACAGGACGACTACCTCAATTTTGATTAGTCCGTGCAATTGTTTTGATGTTGTACCTACATTTCAATAAACATTCTTTCAAACAGCTTACTCTTTTACCTATATGGGAAACTGTTGGAGTGTTGAGAATGTGTGTTTGAGTTTCAGTGAACTTTTGATTAAATGCACATTTCTTATGAATAAATTGTAACCTGTTCGTTCTTTTTCAGATAATTTCAAATAACAATGAATTAGCAATTGCATTGGATATGCATAACAATCGACGCTTCAGCTTGTGCTCTACTGTTGTACAATAATACGCTTTTCTTTTTCAATAAAATTTTTGAAATATTTACCGCTTTTCCACTGCATTGCAGATATATTTTGGTCTGTTGTTGAAAATAAAGGCGAACATAGGAGACCTTTGGGGTTCTGTCGATGGGTAGAAAATAGTAGGTAATGTGTGTATTTAGGCGAAAAGTAGACAATTAAGCGCACAAGTAGGCAATTCGGCGGATATTTAGGCGAAAATGCGAAAATTCAGCAGATATTTAGGCGAAAAGGCGACAATTCAGCGTATATTTAGGCGAAAAGGCGACAATTCAGCGGATATTTAGGCGAAAAGGCGACAATTCAGCGGATATATAGGCGAAAATGCAAAAATTCAGCGGATATTTAGGCGATAAGTCCGTAATTTGTCGACAAAAAGGCGAAAAAGGGGAAAATCCGCATTATTTCCCCCGGACAGGCGAAAAAGGCGACATTCTGATGCGTTTTCCTCTTTATTTTCCCTTTCGCTACCAAAGCATTTTCCCCTTTATTTCCCCTTTTTGGGTTGTCTGGGATTTGACGTCAATTATTGCGGAGGCTAAGGTTTTAGTTTCAAGACATTTCAAAAGTCATATATGTGAAAAGTTTCACCGATTCGCTCTGGGAGGGAAAAGGAGGGACAATTTGGTAAGTTGTAGTCGTTAGCTAATTAATTATTCAAACGTCGCAAACAACCGGCCACTTTTATCCACTTCAGGAGTGGCGTAGATGTTGCCCAGGATAACTACTGGAGACTTAAATGAAATGCAGTATAGAGACTGATTAATGAAGCAAGTAGAGCTCAGAGTGGTACGAAACTATTTGAATAAAAGATCGAATAGAAATGCTTCCAAGTAGCTTAGAGTTTCCTGAAAATTGAGGCCGAAAAATGGCTAAGAAAAAATTGAGAGAATGCAACAGAACTTAATCCTTTCATACTATTTGGGACCAACTTAAGTATGTTTGTCACAGCGAAACTACTTGCTAGAGCACAAATTTCAAAGATGCACTGCCCTTGAACAACTCCTTGAGGTGACCAATCAGTTTCGAGCTAGAAGTGTGTCGCTTAAACAATAAACAAGTACAAGTTAAATCGGTAATATTATTGAGGTATTTGATATCTTGTTTTTTAAATTCTTCATATGTGAAAAAGTTGTTTGATAGGTCCCATCAGTTGATGAGCAATCATTTTCAGCCAAGGCATCTCACCAACAAGAGGTGCTGGGATTTCAAACGGTTGAGTGTGTCAGCTTTACAGGACTATCTACAACAGGTGGATCGGGATGATCACCCTCAACTTGATGTGGGTGCTCATGAGGACTTCTTACTGCACACGCTCTTATATGCTACAAATCAGTCTGTTCTTCAAGTGGTCCTAGAAATCTAAAAGCAACCTACAGTCATCAAGAGCCTCGCTCTTCGTTTGCTAAGCCGCAAAAGGCATTGTTGGGCGAAATAAAGACAAACTGATAACACCGGTGCGTACAGGCAGTACAAACGTATAAGGAACATATGCACGAAGGCAATAAGAAAAGACAGGCTTCAGTACCAGATAAAGCTCATCGATAAGTTTGTTTCCAATCCGAAAGGCCTATTCGTTATGCAGCCTCTCTTCGATAAGACAAACCTGGAGTTTCCCAACTGCTAGGCCCTAATGGCCCGACCATTAACGACTGTGACGCTGTTGACCTTCTGGCTGAATAATACTCTCAGACATTTCAGCCGACCCACATTAACTAT